TTTATCCTACAATACTTATCTAAGTGCCTGTAACCTTGCTGATAGTGGTACTTAAAGGCAAACCCCGGGATTAGCCCGACTAGTGATACCGCGAGGGAAATTGTAAGGTCCGTACCTACCTAGATCACTCCAGCTTCGTCGCAAAAATTGCGCGGTTAGGGCGCTAATCCTTACGGGCCTGCAACCATCGACCCCCGTTCCAACGCTTCCCACCCACCGCGAGAGATGGTGAGATCAGCGTGCATTGATGTATCAGCGTGCTCTCTCAAACGACGTGCTCTCTCGCGTATTTTGTCTTCTTTGATCGCCCTGTCTCGCCATCGTACCACATCCGACCTTATTGAAGGTTAAGGCCTTAATTTCAGCGTTCCAAAGATTTCTCTTGCTTTCCTTCCACTTTCAGGTCGTTCCGCAGCTAAGCTATCACTACGAAGCGCTCATAGCACCAGTTTAATCCCGGGTTTGCCTCTAAGGAGCCTACAATTGGGATCAGAAATTTTGTTTCTCGCCGAATCTGCGCGAAACTGCGCGCAGTAAGTTATGAAGTCACAAAGAAGTTGCATTACTTATTTGACACCACAGTAAGTTGTTCCAGAATCATTGCTGATTGTACATTAGTGCGTGTACTTCAGGCTCAAATGTCAAAACAAATGTGGATCTGCACCATAGAATTCTTAAACTTCTGGAAAAAGTATTGCTGCCCAGCGCTGACAACTGATCAACATGATTGCGATAGTTGATCTGCCTGACCGCTTTTTTACAGGTTGAGGGAAAAGTTCCGATCGAAATTTTCATTCTTTTCTAGAATTTCTTAGAGGACTAGAAGAAGTGATCCCGAAGTAGGAGATAGTGGACGGTTCCCGAAGTTTCGCCTTGGCAGTTGTATGAACTTGCTCTATACGTGTAGCAGCAATCACATTAGCTCATTGAAGTCCTCTGCAAACCATCGAGAGCCAATTTTGAAATCCGGTGTTGTCAGTATCCGCGCTGCATTCAGAGAAGCCGGCACTGCTTTCCTTAACACCCACAGTTGATATCAGCGAGATCCGTTCAAACTGCTGTTGACAACGAGACTGCGCAGTGCAAGGCTTAAGAAGCGAGACCCATCGCTAGTACTCGCTTAAAGCAACAGTCCAGGAACGAATTTGCGGGCCAAAAGCACCTATATGGAAGTTGTAGGTGAAAAGTGGTCGAACGTAAAGAGAAAAAGTGAAGAAAACGCCCAACTGGGGCTTAGACAGGGACATGCCCTGCCGTTTAGGGAGACGTGTGTTGGACGAGTTGTCCGAACCTGCCCGTAGTACATGCGCTCCAATTGCAACTGCTGGCAAATAGCTGCATGCTTGCAAATACATAACTATTTGCCAGCAATCGAAATTGAAGCGCTTCAATTGCGTTCTTATGGAATCGACCTCATACAGCGCGGCGGTCCCGCAACGACCGCTAGTCGAGGAGCGCTCTGCACAGCGAATGTTGGGCGATCCGCCTCTTTATGGGTGATCCGCCCCCTCCAAGAGGACTTCGACCCCTTCCAGCGCATTTTAGAGGTAGGTTTTGAAATTAAAGACATTTCCTATAAGCTGGGGCATGTTTTGACCGCCTAATGACCAAGTAGTTGAAACCCTGCGCCTGGACTGTTGCTTTAAGGGTGCGTAGCATCGCTGAGGAATCGCTGAGAGAACCGTGTCAACGGCGTCTAAGTAATTTAGTACTGTGACCATAGCCTCGAGTCGAGAGAACCCGTGCCAAATTGTGAGTCTGATAGAGGCGTCAACGATCAGGCATGTGCAGCGTTTTTGGCTTCTGCGGGCCCGTCACGAGAGAGGTGGAAATTGTGGCGAGCGGGGGAGCAATATGCTAGCTTCTCTTATCAGTCACAGGGCGTGGCAGAGAAGCGGCTACTGGCCGTACTGCCGCTCACAGAGGAGAGCCAAAAGTGAACTCATGGTAGGAAGGTGCGCGTCTCTCTTGCTGGGATTGTGCAAGGAATGTTCTATTTGGAATTGGCTTCGGAGTTCACGGCAAAGCGCAACTGTGGGCGCCGCAGGCAGCGAAAGTTGGGCAGTCTGCTTGTCGTGGATGCGCACCCAATTGGAAAACTCCCGGCCTTCCTGTCGGAGAACGTTGCCGATCCCATGTCCCAGTGTGCGCATCACATTTACGTACTGACTGGAGAGGTCGGCGCCACTCAGTTCTGCTTATTCGCTGGGTCCAGCTTCTCCCGCTACCATATAATTTGTGCGGTCGAACATCGCCTTGCGAGGGGAAAATGAACAGTCGGATCTTGAAAATGACATACTAACTTCTTCGATTCGCAGCCGCCGAGTTTTCGGCATTGAAGGTTTGCCGCACCGTCGGGTGCATGTTGCGGACTATAACGGTGAGCGTAAGATAGAATGAGATCCTATTCTAACAAATTACGAGTTTAGAAAAGAAAGAGAAATTTCGATTTGGACGATTTCCTCAACTTGATGTTTATTCTTTCTTTTACACTCTTTGATTAACGTCTGCCATTAGTCTTCTATAGTGCAACTTCTTTCACTTACTATTCCTTCCTGCTATTTTGCTAAAATTAAAGTCTTCTCAGAATTCTTTCTATGCTCTTTCTCAGTGACGAGCAAGTTATATATTGCAAAAGCTGTGTTCGTTAACGTACAATAATGGGCTAACCTAAGCCAACTGTCGTTTTTGTTGGAAACCAATGTTGATGGAGTTGTAAAGCATAGCTTTTTTTCGATGCCAAATGCAGTGTGCCTGTGTTTACATTCTGAATCTGTTGAATCATCTGAAAATTTACATCTAAATATGGAAATAAATATATTAATTTTTCTTGTCTTATTAGGAAAGGAGTAAGTGAGGAACTGAAGTTCTGAAGGTCACAATCTCTCTAGTTGTAAATGACGCGGGCGTTCAGCAAGCAATTTGTATGGTGGTTCGCATTAGCAGAAATTCGGCCACCATCTCAATTCCATGATGCGCGTAATTTTTCGCTACCCTGAGGACCTTCTCCAGCGTGCATTATTTGTCAGTTTAAGCGTGAAAGTGGACAGGGACGAGTCAACTCGCTAAATTTTCACCGGTGGCAGAAATTCTCGGAATCATTCCAATCAGAAGAGCAGCATAGACACATGGCTGTGAAGAGCTTTGGGATGATCGCCTCGAGTGTTATTGTCACTGTACAATTTCTACACTCAAGGGTTTATCTGGAAAAAGCCGCAGTCGACTGACTGAATGAAAAAAAAACGACCGCTCAATAATCGCTTCTTCAATAGCTAAGGTATTGGTTTTGCCATTGTTGACAGCTAGCGGATACCCTGATATATAAAAGGATACCCGAGTGAGGTTTATTGCGTCCATTGATTCTACTCCAAGATGTCCACCAATGAGCAGGAGGTAGGTGATGGTATTGATTACAAGATGACTAGGGTCATCAGGTAGTCAGGACTTCAAGGATCCTCTAGAAATCCCATGCTTGACCATGTCCTGGAAATGGCAAGTTCCTGCTCAAGAAGCTCTCGGAATCGGGTCTTACCATTAGGTGTAAGGATCGTGTTATCGCAAAGTTGTAAAGCATGGTGACATGAACATTTTCAGAAATGGGAGCTAATTTTATACGCAGATTCTGAATACCGGAACTTTGCGGACTCAAGCCTTGCCAGGCAGGGTCAACCGTCACGTGGACCAATTTTCAAAAATTTACCGAACCGCCCCTCTAGTTAGCGGGCGGCCTGATACGACCCGCGCCCCCTCAGGGTTAACGCCCTCACGACATCCTCACCACCCTCAGCGCTGCGCATCTCGTCCATCATGGGGGGGGGTGAGTCTATAGGAAATCATCGAATGGTGAAACGGCAAAAGTTTTCACCCTCACCACAATCAAAATCCCAGCCTCAACCTAAGCCGCTCTCTCGTTTCCATTGAAACACCAACATCACTTTGCCCTCAGCTGCAACAATTACGGCTAACCCGAGCAAATACTAGCCCCCACACCCTTCTTGGAAATTTTGTCCTAACGGACGGTTGACCCTGCCTTGCCGGACGAGAAACGAACAGAGCCGCGCGCTGAACGGCGTTGGTTTCCACGCCCCCCCCCCCAACGTACAAGGAAAGGATACCAGGCCGAAGTGGCCATTGGTGACAGTTATACCACTCTGAGCTGTAGTTGTTTGGACGCTGATCTCGAATCTGCTCTCTAAATCTGCGAAACGATTTTCCGAACGTAGTTATGAAGCGAAATAGTGCAGTGGCTAGCGGCCCGGGCCGTCGAGCAAGAGGTCGCGAGAACGTACTCTTGGCGAGTTCTCACTTTTGCTTTTCTTGAAAACATTGTTTAAAGGACGAATTCACGCTGAAAAAGCAACCCATTTCAAATTAACCTAGGGATGGTGAGTGGTACACTAAAGAAGGAAAAACCATGAGAAAACGGCCCAGAACCCGAGAAATGGGACCCCTTCCTTGCCCGTTGATTTGAGCATTGATGCGACTATCATCGCTGTGCCCTCTTCAACGCTACGCTCTCTCACCTATCTAATCACTCACCACGTATAGACCTGCGGCGAGTGATCAGATGATCGGTGGGCGTGCACTGACCAGCCGCGGCGGGATTAAACCTTAATAGGTCAACGAGGTCAACTCCTCCTGTGCAAATTGTGCTTCAGTTCGCACACTTAGGAGCTCCGCGGGTCCCTCAACCAGGTGAATTCTTCCTAATTCGATTTTCCCTCTGATCGTGAATTCGTCCTTTAAAACTTCCATTCAGTCTGAGCTTGTCAAATGGATGCGCCTGTCATACAGGTGGAAAAAGCTTGCGAAGTGGTTCGAACAGTGTACGCGTCATTCGCAATTGACCGTCTCTGGCACCCGTAGCGCATGCGTCATGCATTTTCCTGCCAAGTGCGTGTGAATTTCGTGTTCAGCGCATCAAACTACCCCTTCCGACAACTTTTGGTCCAAATCCAAAAAAATTTTGACCTGAAGTCGAAAATGTGGGCACAAACGACCGACAGGACACGGCAAATGACGCGCACAGTGTTCGAAGCTCTTTGCCAGCTCTTCCATTTATAGCATAGGCAGTCGCTGATTATTTAGCATGCATAGAAGTCCTTTGAACAATGTTTTCAAGAAAAGCAGCTGAGAACTCGCCAAGAAGTGATCTCACGACCTCTTGCTCGTCGGCTCGGGCCGCTGCCACTGCACTATCTCGCTTCATAACACGTCGGAAATCGTTTCGCAGATTTGGAGAGCAGATTCAAGATCAGCGTCCGAAAACACACATCTAGTGGTATATGCCTCGTTATTAATGTCCACTTCGACCTGGTATCTCCTCTTGTTAGACAGAAGAGCCTATTATGCCCTTTTAGGTGCCAACTTTTGTGCAGCGCTCACTCACCGCTGCTTGCGCACGAGAATAGGTATTGGTCGTGCACGCCTGTAGTCATTGTCGAAACTAGGCTAACATAGAACCTGCTGAGGCGCTCATGTCCTTACGGGGACATTCAGGGCATTCCGCTGGACACTAGGACTAAGCCCCAATTGGGAATAAATACCAGGGAGAACAATGGTTGCTCACATCCTCTCTCAGATTCTTTCCCCTCCCTAAGGCTTAGTCCCGAGTTCTATGAGTGGCCCACTCCCTTCAATGCCCCTCCTAAGGACACGAGCGCCCGGGCTAAGTTATGCAAGAAGCCAGAATCGATGCCAGCTCGGAAATCAATGTCGGAAAATAGAATGCAAATGATGAAGGGAAGGATGATCAACGAATTTCCAGGTCACATCTATCGAATTAACAGGTGGCGTAACTGCGCAAAATATCTCATTCGGTAAGTTGACGCCGATGTAGAGTATCAGTTCACTCAATATGTATTAATTTAGAAACGTTTGCCAAGAATATCTGGTCTTATATCATGAACTTCTATCCGGATGGACCAAAACCATTCCTCAAAATGGACGTTTTAGTGACGTTACTCACCCGTACAGCAGCAATATTAGAGAAGGAGCCGAGCGTCCTCGAACTCACTGTGAGCAACGTGACCCATTTTTATGGTTGAAATCTGTGAACGCTTCCGAAGAAATAGTAACTGTACAGAGAGGCCGCACTCAGTGAGAGGGAACGCTCAGTTTGTCTAAAGGATCTCATGCAGTCTTGAGCGTTCATACATGACTGAGTGGGGTACTTCGGCTTTGGGGGTCACCTAAGCGTCAAGTCCAGGAACGGGAAGGAAAACGGGGATCTAAAAGCTGGCTAACACAGAAAGAAAAGACAGAAAAACGGCCTAGAACCCGTGGAATGGGACCCGTTTTTTCCCGTTGACTCTCATCGGTGCTGCCCCCTCAACGCTAACGCTCTCTCTCTGTCTCTCTAACTCTCTCTCTCTCTCTGCCTAAACGGCTGGAGGCTCAGACAGAAGGGCGCACCGCTCCGATATCGCAATTGCGCCAATTGCCCGCGAGAGGCCATGCTAAATCGCCGCAGCATATCCTTCGATGCGAACTGCGTGTCGGTCCGCACCTTAGAAGGTCCGACTGTCTCTCCACTAGATACATCTCCACTTCATTAGCCCTGGTCCTTATCGTGGAATCCTCTCTTTGAAGGCATGGTTCGAGCTATTATTGCCACTGAATGTCGCTCATGTGAGTAGAGCGTGTTGTTGATCGCACCAGCTGCAGAGACGGTGCCTTACTAACCACTTTGCAGACAAGGTCGTCTAGGCGCTAAGGACTCTTGTGTCATAATCCCACCCACGAGTATCAGAGGCGCCCACGCTAGACTTTCTTAACCCTCTCGCCGTGATCACATTACCTCTCATTTCCCTACCTGCCTCATAATATTCTCTTCAGCGTAACGCAAGAGAGCTCATATTTCCTGTTTCTGACGATTTCTTCTCTTTTTTTCTCCCCTTGCAATCCAGTTCGCATTCCTGCTTTCATATTTGGGTGGAATTACCACAACAATTTAATCTTGATCTTGCGTACTACCAGTGATCTTGCCAAAACCAAGGTATCTCACTCAATTAGTCTAGCCTCCTGAAAAAAGTAGTCTAGGAAAAAGAAGAGATACGTGTTAATAGGTTAACATTACTCCTGAAGCGCTTAGTGAGCGTAGTCCAAATGATTAATCCTCTTCCCGCGGCCGGATGGGTCGTAATTGCAGACATAGCAGCATGCATGCTTCACAAAAATTGATCCCATATGTCTTTTGATGCTATCTTATGCCATATGTATTTTCTATGACGACAGGTCGGGCCACGGGAAATGCACCTAATCTTCCTTCGAAATTCTGTGATACGCCAATTTTTCGACATTCCCGTTATTGCAAAACGTTCAATTTTCGGAGCAAATCAATGGATTTATGGCGAATCCTGGGTCTATTCCAGTTAGGGGGTGGTCATCATGATGCAGTTTTTCCAAAAAGCTAGGGTAACTCGAGCCAGGGGGAGTGTAGCCAGTCTAGGGGGTGGGGGGTGAGGGCAGTCACTTGACATGCGTGAAAAGCTGGAATGTTCGAGTTCACACTAGTTCGCCGAGAAGCTGCATCATGATGCCCCCTAACTGGAATAAACCCCGGACCTCAAATCCTTTCCGCAGATCCTTCGCTCGTCCAGCTGTTCGGTTCCACACTGAGTGTGATAAGGAGAGATAAGGATGGTTGTGAGGCGTTCGATCCTAAGCAAAAAAAATAACGACCTCAATTTTAGGGAGAGGTTACGGTAATGGGACCAATATATGGCGAAGGTGATTCCCTGATCACTTTGCTTTCACTAGTAGGAATGCCACCGCAGAAGACATTCCTGTTTCTCGGATGTTACTTTGGGCTCGGCTTCGGTTTGTGTGACCTCAAAAATTCCGCGTTGGCTAATATCTTGATTTCTCCACTAATAATTGACTATTTCAGCGCCCCTGGAAAGTTTAATGCTGCTTTTTTGTATGAAATGTCTTTTTCCAACAAAAGTTTACCTACTCAAAGGCCATCTCGAAGAGCCTGCATCGATCAAGGTACAAGAAATAAACCATAGATTGAGCGATGCGTGATGGTATTGCCAACTTTCAGAGTTGG